TGATTTGGTTAGTTTGAGGCCAAAGTTTTTTTTTGAAAAAAGTTTGAGGCCAAAGTTAAATCTCTGATCGAAATTGTGGGGGAAAAACTATACGAAAAAACCATATATAACAATAAATTCCAGGTGTAGTTTGTCTGGATATCTAATATACTATCAAGAAAAATAAAACATTTCATTTTACGTAATTGAATTTGTAAAGCACTGCTGTTAAAAATAGAAAACAGAAAAACATAGTTGTTACGTAACTCCGTTTTAAAAAAAAAAAGAAAAAGAAATGGATGACGTCTAAAAATTACGAAACATCAAGCAAGTTTTGCCAAAAAGAGGAGTTAAGTTACCATTTTGCCCTTCACTAATATAATGTTCTTCTCACTTCTATAAATACTGAAGAATCCATTTCCAAAATCGTACCACATCACCATCTATCTCTCGCATCCAGTTTTTCTTCAGCTTCTCAGTCATCTCAAAATGGCGCAACAGTCTTCCTCTGCGAAACCAATGCCTATGCTGAAAGATGAGCTCGACATCGTGATCCCGACGATCCGTAACCTTGACTTCTTGGAGATGTGGAGGCCATTCTTTGAGCAATACCATCTGATCATTGTTCAGGATGGTGATCCTTCCAAGACCATCAAGGTCCCAGAAGGTTTCGACTACGAGCTGTACAACAGGAACGATATCAATCGAATCTTGGGTCCCAAGGCTTCTTGCATTTCCTTCAAGGACTCTGCTTGTCGCTGCTTCGGTTACTTGGTCTCCAAGAAGAAGTACATCTACACCATTGATGATGATTGCTTCGTAAGTGGCTTTCTCTCTCTCTCTAGACTTTGTGGTTCATTGTTATATTTGCAGACCAAGTACGATTACCTGACTATGAAGTGAAGCCATGCTATAATTTGTTTTAATAGCCATAGTACATGGAAAGGAATATGTTATCTTGCTTCTCAAGTTATCTCCAATAGTTTTGTTGGTAAATTAGGTTTTTTTTTGTTTTTGGGATATAGCTGAGCTCTTATGATGTTTGTTTTGTGGGGAAATGATGTAGGTTGCAAAGGATCCATCTGGAAAAGATATCAATGTGATTGAGCAGCATATCAAGAGCCTCTTAACTCCATCAACTCCAAATTTCTTCAACACACTTTATGATCCATACAGAGATGGAGCCGACTTTGTTCGTGGATACCCTTTCAGTATGCGCGAAGGTTGCAAAACTGCGGTCTCTCATGGTCTTTGGCTCAACATCCCTGACTATGATGCTCCCACTCAGCTTGTGAAGCCACTTGAGAGAAATTCCAGGCAAATTGATATATCTCCCATAGAGAACCAAAATTTGCTTTTTTTTTTCTTTTAAAACCTTAAAACCTTTTTTCTTCTCTTCTGCTTTGCTTACTTATTCGTCTTAGTTATATATAGGTACGTTGATGCAGTCATGACCATCCCCAAGGGAACTCTTTTCTCAATGTGCGGTATGAACCTCGCTTTTGACCGGGAGCTGATTGGCCCGGCTATGTACTTTGGGCTTATGGGTCATGGTCAACCAATTGGAGGTTATGACGACATGTGGGCTGGTTGGTGTGCCAAGGTATATATCTGTAATTCTCCTTAATTAATCTTGCTCAATGAAAAGAAAGTCGTCTTAATACATTTGTCTACTAGTCTATCAATTTTGAAATGAAGATATGACCATTTATATTTGCAGTTTTTTATAACATTAGTGCGCTTTTAGTTTTAGTTAAAACATCTTATAAAAAGAACAAAGATAGTATATTTTGTTCTTGTGTTTTTGGACAGTAATTTACTAGAAATTCTCAACAATGGAGAATGTAGGTGATCTGTGACCACATGGGATGGGGAGTGAAGACGGGTTTGCCTTATGTATACCACAAAAAAGCCAGCAACCGATTCGAGAATCTGAAGAGAGAATACAACGGAATATTCTGGCAGGAAGAGGCTATACCTTTCTTTGAATCAGTGACTCTACCCAAAGAGTGTACTTCGGTGCAGCAATGCTACCTCGAGCTAGCTAAGCTCGTGAAGGAGAAACTCGGAAAGGTGGATCCTTACTTCATCAAGCTTGCTGATGGAATGGTCACTTGGAGCGAAGCTTGGGATGAGCTCAACACTACCCCATAAGGAACCAAAACTAAAGCACTAAACGTTGCAAGTAAAAAAAGAGAAGGACGTCGTTAAATAAGGTCAATGGTATGGTCACATGTGTGAACCCTCTATGTTTTTCATAATTATAATTAATGTTGTTTGTGGTTAATGTTTGTGTCGTATGTTATGTGTAAAAAGTGTTTGTAATCTGTTCTTATGTTTATGTATGTTGCCTTTACGGCTTATATGTATGAAAAATATTAATGTAAAATAAATAATAATGTTTTTCATACACTAATGGGGTTTGGAATAGTAACACATTTGTGTGTGACTTTTTTAGTTGAGTGATGGTAGTTCGTATAATTTATTTGCATCTTGGATAATATAGACTTTATGTTAATGATAAGTGATAAAAAATACATAAGTATACTATGGAATTCCATATTTCTCCACCTTCTATATATTTTGATAAGATAAATGTCTCAAACTATTGGTAGGTTTTGTTCAAAATTTTTTTTTTATATATATTTAATTAATATGGTAAAAAGAAAATTAAATATAGACCCCAATTTATACATGAATTAGTTTTCTTGAAAAAGAAAAATCTATATTTGAAAGAAGGTCATATTCAACTACTACACTCGGACGAAAGAACAAATATGTTATAAAAAAATTGTTGATTAGAGGCTAAGCTAGGAGCAAACTTCACATGCCAAGTTGTCAAACCTTATCCAACGAAATTTGAAATAATATTCGTGAAGAAAAGTATTTTAAATAAGAATGTATTACTTTTTTTGTAAGTATAATTGTAGAACATATTCCTCTATGCTTTTTTTAAATCATGAAATATGGACCTCATTGTTTGAAGATATATAAATCTATATGGTGAACACTAGTTTACACGGTTTGGCTTCGATTCAATTTTTGTTTCTGGTTAGCAAATTTATAAAAGCTACATAAAATAATTTGAAATTCA